TACTTGCTATATGTTACTAGATTCCATTTACTAATACTTTGTTTAAGATATTTATATCTATATTCATAAGAGATATTGGTCTCTTTTGCATTGTGGTTATAACATCTTCAGTTTTAGTATTGGTAATATTGGCTTTATAGGATGAGTTGAGAAGTGTTTCCTACTTTTCTGTTTTTAGAAGAGTTTATGCATAATTAATATTAATTCTTTAAATGTTTGACAGAATTTGTACCTAAACTTCTTTCTAGGAAATTTTTACATTACTATTTTTCTTGAGTCAGTCTCAATATTTTATGTTTTCCTAAGAATTTTTCCATTTCATCTAAGTATCTAATATTTGGTGCCTACATTTGTTCATAGTATTCTACTGTGATTCTTTTTATAATTTCTACTAGAGGCCTGGTGCACGAAATTCATGCAGGAGTAGGCCTTTCTTCCCCCGGCTGCTGGCACCGGCTTCCCTCTGGCACCCGGGACCCGGGCTTCCCTCACAGCCCTGGCTTCATCCAGAAAGTCATTCGGAAGGATGTCTGGTCTAATTAGCATAAATTATAGATAAATCTGGTAGTATTATCTCCTTCCTCATTCCTTATTTTAGCTATTTTAGTCTTCCCTCTCTCTCATCAATTGGAGAGTAGAATATGACTTTAGGTAAAGTGTAGTGAAAGATGTTTGCTTTATAGAAATAAATATATTAATAGGAAACTATTATTTTCCCAACCAAATTATTTAACTCTGTCTTCAAGCAAACTATATATAACTTTTCACATGTTCATAGCAGCACAATTCACCATAGCTAAGATTTGGAAATAGCCTAAGTGCTCATTAATAGATGAGTGGATTAAAAAACTGTGGTACATCTACACAATGGAATACTATGCGGCTGTAAAAAAGGAGTTCTTACCACTTGCAACAGCATGGATGGAACTAGAGAGCATTATGCTAAGTGAAATAAGCCAGTCAGAGGAAGATAAATATCACATGATCTCACTCATTTATGGAATATAATGAACAACATAAACTGATGAACAAAAACAGATCCAGAGACAGAGAAGCATCAATCAGACCTTCAAACCTCAGGTAGGGATGGTGGGGTAAAGGGGAGAGATCAACCAAAGACTTATATGCTAGCATATAGGCCTAACCAATGGACACGGACATCAGGGGGTGAGGGCATGAGTGGGGGGATGGGGGGTAATGTGGAGATAAGGACACATATGTAATAATTTAATCAATAAAAAAAATTTAAAAATAACTTTATAATAAAAGTGGTAGATGCAATAGCAATATGTGATTATAAGTTATTTTAGCAATCTCATTATTGATAATGAAAAGCTAACAAAGACACCATCTTTTTGATTTTTACTGTTGTTTTACACAAATTGTTTGTAAATAGTGATAGACATTTTTAAAAAGATTAGTATGCACGATAATCTAGTAAAATTATTTTTATCTCCTAAACTTTTAAAATCTTAAAAAATATATACTTCTTACTATTATCTCATTTCTTTATCTACAAAATATGATTAATTACACTAATCTGGGGATATTTTGCTGCAAAGATTCAAGATATAAAGAAAAATCTGAAATGTAATTTTGCTACATAACAAGAAAAACTTATATAATAAAAGGCTGCTTTATTCAGATGCCGAATATCCCAAATGCTTAATGTTGTTGAAGCTGTGGCATGCTGCAGAAAGTTAAATAGTTCAATATGAAGTCTGTCTTTTATTTAATCAGTACTTTGGAAAGAAAGAGAGAACAACTAGATCAGGTGTCACAAGTTATCCATTGTTTTCACCCAGCATATTTATAAATGCTTTTCCCTAGGCTTTGCTTAATTATATTTTTGGGTTCCTGTATATATTTATTTTTTATTCTTTTTTTAATTAAATCTTTATTGTTCAGATTATTACAGTTGTTCCTCTTTTTTCCTCCCCATAGCTCCCCCTCCCACCCAGTTCCCACCCTACCCTCTGCCCTTACTACGCCCCCACCACTGTCCTCAACCATAGATAGGTGTACAATTTTTGTCCAGTCTCTTCCCGCACCCCCCACACCCCTTTCCCCCCCTGAGAATAGTAAGTCCACTCCATTTATATGCCCCTAATTTTATTATATTCACCAGTTTATTCTGTTCATCAGATTATTTATTCACTTGATTTTTAGATTCACTTGTTGATAGATGTGTATTTGTTGTTCATAATTTGTATCTTTACCTTTTTCTTCTTCTTCCTCTTCTTAAAGGATACCTTTCAGCATTTCATATAATACTGGTTTGGTGGTGATGAACTCCTTTAGCTTTTTCTTATCTGTGAAGCTCTTTATCTGACCTTCAATTCTGAATGATAGCTTTGCTGGGTAAAGTAATCTAGGTTGTAGGTTCTTGCTATTCATCACTTTGAATATTTCTTGCCACTCCCTTCTGGCCTGCATAGTTTCTGTTGAGAAATCAGCTGACAGTCGTATGGGTACTCCCTTGTAGGTAACTGACTTTTATTCTCTTGCTGCTTTTAAGATTCTCTCTTTGTCTTTTGCCCTTGGCATTTTAATTATGATGTGTCTTGGTGTGGCCCTCTTTGGATTCCTTTTGTTTGGGGTTCTCTGTGCTTCCTGGACTTGTAAGTCTATTTCTTTCACCAGGTAGGGGAAGTTTTCTGTCATTATTTTTTCTAATAGGTTTTCAATATCTTGCTCTCTCTCTTCTTCTGGCATCCCCATAATTGGAATGTTGGTACACTTGAAGTTGTCCCAGAGGTTCCTTACACTATCTTCATATTTTTGGATTCTTTTTTCTTTTCCAGTTGGGTGTTTTTTGCTTCTTCGTATTTCAAATCTTTGACTTGATTCTTGCGATCCTCTAGTCTGCTGTTGGAACTCTGTATAATATTCTTTATTTCAGTCAGTGTATGCTTAATTTCTAGTTGGTCCTTGTTCATATCCTCGAGGGTCTTACTAGATTTCTTGAGGGTCTCACTGAATTTATTGGCAGTTTCTAGAAAATTTTTGAGAAACCTTATAAGTTTGGTTTTGAACTCTATATCCAGTAGTTTGCTTTCCTCCATTTCTGTCATTTGTGACCTGTTTCTTTGTCTCTGCATTTTTTATGCTTCCCTGTGTTGATAGAGTGGCTTTCTGTGCTAGGTGTCCTATAGGGCCCATTGGCTCAACCTCCCCAATTACCTGAGGTGGACACTCTTGGTGCACCCCTTTGTGGGCTTTGTGCACAGTCTTGTTGTAGTTAAGCCTTGATTGTTGTAGGTATCACAGGGAGGAATTGACCTCCAGGCCAATTGGCTGTGAGAATCAGCTGTGTCTGCAGTGGGAGAACTTCTATGCTAGAGACACCTTTCTGGGGCAAGACTTGCTTCAGTGGGGCTTTGGTGCTCACTGAGTCTGCCCCCTGAGTGTGTCCCTTATGGATCTGAGGAATTGTAATCTGGATGGTCCCACTCTGACCACTGGGTACACTGGCTCTTGGATCTCTAAGGAGGTGCTAATTTAGCCTCTGCCTGAGGCTACCCAGCAGGAGCTACGAAGAGATCTGCAGATTCCTCTTCTTTGTTTGGGATTTGGAGGTGCCCAGATGAGGCCCAGCTGTGAAGCAATGCAAGCTTCTGTGGGGCCTTGGGCCTTCTTTTGGAAGTTCTGGTTCTCTCTGACCCAACTGCAGTTTGTTAGGTAATTTTCAGATTGCAAAGGGCCAGGCCTTTCATATGCAAAATCCTCTGCGCACAGCTTGGTTGGGGTGGGGTCTCAGGGAATCAACAGGGTGGGGCAAATAGCTATGGCTGCTCCTCAGTCCTACCCTAAGAGGTCCCGCGTCTCAGTGTCCCAGTAATCGCTGCAAGCACCTCTGAGAGAAAGCCGCCCTTGAGTTCCAACCGATGCCAGACAGTCCAGTATGAGTCTTGGTCCTCTGAGACTCGCCCTGAACTGGAGTTCAGAGCAGTTGGGAGCTTGAGACTCCCTCCCGATTAAAAAAGACAACCGCGTCCTCAGTTGCCAGCCCTTGCTGTGTGCACCTCTGTACCCCTGCACTTCACTTCCGCACCTCCTCTGAGTCTCAGTGTGCTTTTCTCTTTCCTTCTAGTTGTAGAATTTCCACTCAGCCAGCATTTTGTGGTTCTGGATGATATCCGTTTTGTCTTTTAGTTGTATTTTTGAAGTGGTTGTGCGAGGCAGCAATTTCCAGTGTTTACCATGCTGCCATCTTGGTTTCTCTCTATTTTTTTTCTTTATCATTGAAAGTATTACATATGTTGCCCTTTTCCCCCATTGACATCTCACAGCCTGCCTCCGCCCCCCAGCTAGAATTTCAACCCCCTATTGTCTGTGTCCATTGCTTATGCATATATGCATACACGTTCATTGGTTGATCTCTTCCCACCTGCCCACCCTCCCCTGCCTTCCCTGGGTTCCTGTATATTTTTAATCAAGTTGAAATAATGAGCATTCTTCCAAGCACTGAATGCTCAGTAAGCCTGTTTGTTGCCCTTGGAAAAGGTTCTACTGTCATATGTGGTGGCCTGTATTCCAGCTCCCATCGTATTTCTGTGTAGTCAGGGTACCAGCTCAGTTTCCAAAAAGCAAAAGCTAAGCAAAGAAAGGGATGGTCTCAATTAATTTGATATTCACTATTAAGAGTCATTGTTGAGAAAATCCATTAAAAATAAGCCTAAACATGAAATAAAGAAATGCTATTAGTTTTATTAATTAGATAAAAAAGAAAGAAGAAACAGTGTCTAGTTTTGGAACCTTGCTAAGCTCCAAATAAGGCTTGCCTTCCAGATTTATCTTTTTCTGACTGGGGTCTTTAAAAGAGTCCTAAATTTAGCCTTTCCTTTATACTACTAGACTTGAGAGACACTATATTCTCACCAACTTATTACTCAAAATTTGAGCCTTTCCAATTTAGAACTTAGAGCCCTGCTTTCTTTATACTTAACTCAGAACCTTCTTTTTTTTTTTTTCTATTGAGAAACTTAATTTATTTCTGCGATAGAGGCTGAAGGATCTGGAGCTCCAGCCCGGTCTCCTGCCCCCTCCCCTTTTGTCCCAGAGAAGAGGGGCTTGGCCAAGAGGGCCAGCTGGGGTCTAAAGAGACCCAGGGTAGCTTCTTGGCTTGAAGGCCCATTCAAACAGGATGGCAAGCAGACCTTCAGCAGGGTCACTTGGGTGGACGATTTGCCAGCTTCCGGCTCTTCAGTACTGACCACTTATGCCGCTTCATGGCGTAGACCAGGGGCAACAGCAAACCCATCATCATCAACATCTTGAGCCCCATGCGTTTCCGATGGTCATGCTCTGGCTCGGATGCCCAGCGCAGGAAGGTGCACACATCCTTGGCTACCTGGGACATGGTAGCTGGGGTGCCATCGTCAAACTCCAAGACCTCGTCGTAGATGGGAGGAGCCATGCCAATGGACTGGCCAGGGAAGTAGGGGTTGAAATAGAGGCCTTCTTGTAGCGACACCCTGGTGGGCGGCTCACAGTAGCCCGTGAGCAGGGAGAAGACGTAGTCTTCACCACCGTGCCTAGCTCGCACGATGTAGCTGAGGTCAGGGGGCATGGCTCCATTGTTGGCTGCTCTGGCAGCCTCAGGGTTGGGGTACAGTTTGGGGAAGTAGTCAGACAGCTTTCTGGGTCGCATGAACATCTCCCCATCATCATTGGGGCCGTCCTGAATCTCCACCTCTTCGGCCAGGGCTTTAGCTTCATCCTCAGTGTAGCACACGCCCACCAGGTGGAGGTAAGCCACGTAGTCCATGCTGTGGCAGGAGGAGCACACCTGCTTGTATACCTGGAAGCCCCTCCGGATGCTGGTGTGGTCCAGGGAGGAGAGGAGGCCGCGGTGAGACCACGGGTAGCTCGGGGGGGCGGGGCGGGGGGGCGGGAGGGGTGCAGCTCCAGGTCGCTGGCACTCACGGCCCACGGCCAGCCCTGCACCCCCTGCCGCCAGCATGCCCAGCACGGACAGCATCACTTTTCGGCCCCGGGACGGACCAGACTTGGACGACAAGGACACTGCCTGAGGCGTCCGCAGCGGGAGCTGCCTGGGCCGCGCACCACACAGCAGACCCCGGGCCTGCGCGCCCCGTGGGCCCAGCACCGCCCCGCGCCTCAGAACCTTCTTATCATACTGTTAGCATGTTTCAAAAATCTTAGTAACAATTAAGCATAACATTTACAGTAACAATCATAACAGTAAGTCCCTTCAATGGCTGGAATTATGTTTTACCGTAGGATGCATTCAGTAAATATTTATTAAAAATAAAGTAGAAAAAATAATTTATGAAAATTACACATTGCCTATCATGAACATTGGCAGCTGTCAATTCAAGTAATTATGAAGGTTTTATATAGGAGGGATGTTCACAGGGGAAAAGTTCAGGTATCATTCATAGGCTCTTTATTAGGAAGTAGGAGTCCAATTTAGAGCCATTTTTTCTTACTTTACCAAATAAAAAAAGTCTGAAAACCAAATGAGTTACCAACTTACATTAACATTGGTTCAAGCTACTATTTTTTAGTTTGATTGTTTGCAGAAGTAGGCACAAAAAAGTATTTCCCTGATGTATCATCACCAAGCATCTCCCCCCAACATACACACCATGATATGGACTCTGTACAAGTTAAAGATTAACTTTAGGTGAGAAGACAGGTTAAAAAAGCATCACCTTGGTTCAGATTTTCTAATTCCTGTCACTGAAAGCAGTTCACAAATGCAAATAAGTGGGGAAATATGTGGGGTTCTATTCTTGTCTTTTTATAGAAGAGAAATTTTGAGAATAAATGTTTAATTGTTAAAGGAAAGAGCTTGTTGGAATTTCTACCATCTACTAGTTAAATGACAGTAACAAGTATGTATCACGATGTCAGGGAGTACTAGACTTATTAGGGAGACCACTTTTAAATTATATAAATGTCTAATCACTATGTTATGCACCTGAAACAAATATAGTATAATATCGAATATCAACTGTAATCGAAAAATGAAAATAACATAACAATAACAATTGTAATAATAATTTCTTGTTCAGCTCTGCAAAATCCCATATAAGGGAAATCAGACCTTTACTCTTGGCTATAATGTTATTTCAGTCTCAACAATATAACTGCCATTTCAGCTAATCACAAAGCATTACCATGTAAGCACTTAGTAGGTGTACCGCTTAATAAGACATATTTTTTTCAATAGATGGAGTTACACATATGTTGATATATATGTGATTTGATATGTATGTTATTTTGTTGTATTGACAACAAGCTTCAAAACTTCATATGTCAAATTTGCTGAAGGTGTTAACATCATAGATATTTTTACACTTAAAAATGTCAAATTTCGTGCCAAAAAAAGAGCATTTGTGGGAAGTTATAATTCATTACTTTATTTTGAAGAAAAGTGCTGCTGAATACTTCGGGAAGCTTATGGTGAACATGCTCCAGCTCAAGATACTTGTGAACACTGATTTAAACACTTTAAAAGTGATGACTTCTTTTTTTTAATATATTTTATTGATTTTTTTACAGAGAGGAAGGGAGAGGGATAGAGAGTTAGAAACATCGATGAGAGAGAAACATCAATCAGCTGCCTCCTGCACACCCCCCCCCCCGGGGATGTGCCCACAACCACAGTACATGCCTTTGACTGGAATCGAACCTGGGACCCTTCAGTCGGCAGGCCGACGCTCTATCCACTGAGCCAAACATGTTAGGGCAAAATTGATGACTTCTATGTGAAAGACAAAGAACGTCCAGGTCAACCAAAACAGTTTGAAGACCAATAATTACAAGCATTATTGGATAAAGATGCGTGTCAAACTCAAAAACAACTTGCAGAAAGATTAAATGTTTCTAAGCAAACAATTTCTGATCATTTACAAGCAATGGGAAAGATTTTAAAGGAAGGAAAATGGGTGCCACATCAACTGAATGAAAAACAAATGGAAAACCTAAAAGTCATCAGTAAAATGTTGCTTCAACGGCACGAAAGAAAGTCTTTTTTGCATTGAATTATGACTGGCGATGAAAAGTGGATTTATTTTGAGAATCCCAAATGCACAAAATCATGGGTTGATCCAGGTCAACCATCAATATCGACTGCAAGGCCAAATCACTTTGGAAAGAAGACAATGCTCTGCGTTTGGTGGGATCAGGAAAGTGAGGTGTATTATGAGCTTCTAAAACCAGGTGAAACCATTAATACTGATCGCTACTGACAACAAATAATCAATTTGAACCACGCTTTGATCCTGAAACGACCAGAATGTGCCAGAAGACACAGCAAAGTAATTTTGCTTCATGATGACGCACCATCACACACTTCAAAACCAGTTAAAGACATGTTTAAAGATCTTGCCTGGGAATTATTAACCCACCCACTGTATTCACTAGGTCATGTTCCTTCAGATTACCACTTGTTCTGATCGATGGCACACGCACTTTCTGAGCAGCACTTCAAAACGTACGAAGAAGTGGAAAATTGGGTCTCTGAGTGGTTTGCCTCAAAACAAGAAAAGTTCTATTGGGACGGTATCCACAAATTACCTGAAAGATGGGGGAAATGTGTAGCTAGCGATGGACATTACTTTGAATAAAGCACTTTTGATGTATCTCTTGAAATTATCATGTTTTCTTTGATTACAAAATCCGCCATTATTAACCGGTGCACCTAGTACTCTATAGCAAACACTGAGCCAATTCTTGGGGAGAGAGAGTGACTATAATTTTGTCCATGTTTCAAGGCAATTGTCTTAGCCGTTCAGGCTGCTATAACAAAATACCAAAACACGGAGGCTTATAAACAACAGTAATTTATTTTGCACAGGTCTCGGGGTTGGGAAGTGTAAGATCACAGTGCCAGCAGAGTTGGTGTGATGGCTGGTGAGGGCCCACCTCCTGGTTCAGAGGCAGCATCTTCTTATGGTGTCCTCACATGGTGGAAGCATCAAGAAAGTTCTCTGGGTTCTCTTATGTAAGGGCACTACTCCTATTCATTAGGGCTCCAACCTTGGGCTCCTAAGGGCTCCACCTCCTAATACTATCACCTGGGGGATTAGGATTTCAACATATCCATTTTGATGTCACACATTCAGACCACAGCAGTGACATTCCCCTGGGGAAACAGACCATTACAAAGGATGTTCTAAGTGCTACAACAAGGCCTTTGATGGAGTAGTGTTTGGGTGACCTGGTAGAATATCCAATTCATTAAAGTGGCTTCTAAGTTAAAAACTGGAAGACAAATAGAAAAACTGAGTTATACAAGGAAGAAAATAAATGGGACTAAGGTATTCAAAACAATAATTACTTTCTAAATCATTGGTTTCTTTTACTTTTTTCTTTATTTCAATTTTTTACGTTTTTTCTATATCTAAAAATAAATTTAAATTCCTAGCACTTTATACACACCAAACAGATGAACTGTCTTTTATTCATTACAGCACACTGATAATGCACACCGGCTCTCAGCTTCTGGGCAGGTGAAAGCTATCATTATCATTCTGAAATTCCTTCTAATAAGGAAACAGTGTTTCACAGAATTATCATAATTTACAGGACAATTCAAAAGAACCTGCCCAAATCATTTGAAATAGAGAAAGAGATAGATTAAAAGCAAATGTTTGTTTTTTTGTTTTGTTTTTCGTTTGTTTGTGCATTTGTGTGTGTTTGTTGCTATTGAGTTGTAGGATTTCCATATAGATTTTGGATATTAACCTCTTATCAGTTATATGGTTTGCAAATATTTTCTCCCATTTTAGGGGTTGCCTTTTCACTCTGTTTATTGTTCCCTTTATTGTGCAGAAGATTGTTACTTTGATGTAGTCCCACTTGTCTATTTTTTCTTTTGTTGCTTGTGCTTTTGCTGTCATAGCTAAGAAATCATTGCCAAGACCAATGTCATGAGATTTTCCCGTTTTCTTCTAGGATTTTTATAGTTTCAGACCTTATATTTAAGTCTTTTATCCATTGTAGCTGGTATTTGCATAGGGGTTAAGATAAGTGTTCAGATTCATACTTTTGCATTTGGATATCCAGTTTTCCCAGCACCATTTGTTGAACACCATTTCCTTTCCCCATTGTGTACTTTTGGCATCTTTGTCACAGATCAGTTGACTATACATGGCTGAGTTTATATCTGGGATTTCTACTCTGTATCATTGGTCTATATGTCTATTTTTTATGCTAGTACTATAATGTTTTCATTCCCATTGCTTTGTAATATTTTGAAAACAAAAAAAAATGTGGTATTTCCAGCTTTGTTCTTTCTCAAATTTTGGCTATTTGGGGTGTTTTTATTTTTCATATAAATGTTAAGATTTTTTTATCTGTGAAAAATGATATTGGGACTTTTATAGGGATTGTGTATATCACTTGGGTACTAAGGGCATTTTAGGAATATTAATTCTTCCAATCAATAAACATGGAATATCTTTCCATTTGTTTGTATTTTCCTCAACTTCTCTTATCACTGTTTTGTAGTTCTCAGTGTACAAGTTTATAGTTAACTCCTAAGTATATTATCCATTTTTATGTGGGATTGTAAGTGGGATTGTTTTCTTAATTTCTTTTTCATATTGTTTCTTCTTAGTATATAGTAGCACAACTGGTTTTGTATGTTGATTTTGTACCCTGAAACTTGAATGAATTTATTTATTAATTCTAATAAGTTTTCTACATATAAGATCATTCATCTGTGAACAGAGATTTTACTTCTGCCTTTCTGGCTTGTATGCTTTTTATTTTATTTTATTTTTTTGTTTTTTTCCTAATTGCTCTTGCTAGAACTTCTAGTAGTATACTGAATGGAGTGCTAAGAGTGGGCAACCTTGTCTTATTGCAGATCTTAGGTTAAAAGCTTTCTATTTTTCATGGTTTTTCATGATGTCAGCTGTGGTCTTTTTATATATGACCTTTATTATGTTAGAGCTACATCCATTCTATACCTAATTTGTTGAGAGTATTTATTATGAAGTGTGTTTAATTTTATCAAATGCTTTTTCTGCATCTATTGAAATGATCATATGAATCTTATTTTTCATTCTGTTAATGTGGTATGTCACATTAATTGATTTTCCTTGTGTCCTGGGAATAAATCCCACTTGTTCATGGTATATGATCCTTGTAATGTGCTGTTGAATTCAGTTTGTTAGTATTTTGTTTAGGATTCTTACATCTATGTTTATCAGAAATATTGGCCTATAGTTTTTTTATGGTGTCCTTGTCTGGCTTTGGTATCAGGGAAATGCT